GGGCCTCCCTCGGCGTTAGGCTCCTCAGCCTCACCTCCTGACTCACACGAGTGACACGGGTAGAACTTGGTGGAAGTAGGCGTTCCGCCAAGTATCGAGGCCCTAAACCATTTAGGGCTTTGTACATAAGCATCAACACTTTGAAGTCGATGCGGAATCGGATGGGCAGCCAATGCAGTGCGGCCAGAGTGGGTGAAATATGTTGGAATTTTTTCACACCACTGAGGAGTCTGGCCGCAGCATTCTGCACCACCTGTAGTTTCCGCAGCAGCCTCAAAGGCAGCCCCACGTGGAGCGCATTACAGTGGTCTAATCTTGAGATTACGAGCGCATGTACCAAGGTAGTGAGGGCCCCCACATCGAGATAGGGCCACAGCTGGGCTATCCGCCTAAGATGATAAAAGGCGGTTCGGACCACGGACGCCACCTGCTTAGGAAAGAAACACTGGCGACGGGCCTATAATTGCCAATTTCGTCCACCGCCAAACTTGGCATTGTAGCAGAGTGGATCTTCAGCTATGAGTGTCCTAGTCCTAGTCAATATTCTAACCACCACATCACTCCAGCTTGATTCTTCTCTGCAAATGAGACTAGTACACACACACAAGTGTCCATGGGGACTTTTGTTGTTTGTTGCTGTTTAGTCATTTAGTCGTGTCTGACTCTTCGTGACCCCATGGACCAGAGCACGGCAGGCGCTCCTGTCTTCGCAACGGGAACACTTTCCACCAAATCCTCAATTTTGTTTAATATCTCAATGTACACAGAGAGGCACACTATGTTGTTCAGGTGTTAGCAATGCAAATGAATTGTGCTAGTTTATCACTATACACCTTTCCCTCCTCCATGGAAAATTTCCTGTTGCCTTTACCTGAGACATGGATGTTCTTGTTTTCCAATAAGTTCCCTGATAGATTATGTAATTTCTTATGAGCAGAGGAATACTGAAATGTACTCAAAGCTAACTAGGTAGATGTAACTTTTCACCCATTTGTACACCCATTTGGTTGGCATCAAAAAGAATTGTTGGTGTAATCAGGAAGAGAGAGAGAAAAAATCAGATCCTGTAGTGACTTTTCCAAACATGCATTTTGCCTTTTCTGCATCCGACTGTGAGATTCCCACATGCTTGCCTGGTTTGTTGTAACAAATGGGAACAATCCAGAGAAAGTCAGGCCGCTTTAAGCCCTATTGATTTTAATGGAATTTATTCTGCTGTCCTAAACACAGGCCTTAAAATGAGCCTCATTGATTTCAAGGGAAGTGTGTACTTCCAAATAAGTGGCTTGAAGCTGTATTCTTTATCTGGGCAATCAAATTTATAGATTTCATTGGGGCTTAGCCATGTCTAACCTGCTTGAAGAAATGATTCTTTGACCTTTAAAGCCCTTAGTGCCTGCATCTTATATAATTAGGGATCCTTTAGAGCCTCACATTTGTGACCTCCCTGAGCATTTATGCTGTTCAATAAACCTCTGTGTTTGCAATCACTTGAAGACTTATTTATTTTCTTAAGCAGATTTTGAACCTGATAGCTCCATACTGTCAATCCAGATTATCAGTGACTTTCCACAGTTCCTGATAGGATGCTTTCTCGGCCCTATCTGGAGAGTGCTTGGGTTACCTGGTGGTCTCCCATCCAAGAAATAACCAGACCCACTGGA